GTCACAAAGTTACCACCGTGGTTGGGGCAAACTATAATAACAAAGTCATGGCCTTGAAATTAATTAAACAATTCTAGAATATATTAAAACTTGTTATTGAATATAGCCTAAAAACTTTAAAAATACGTTTAAAAATTTTCTATCTCCTTTTTTTCTTCATTTTTTAAAGGGTAAAATCGAAAAAAAAAATTTGATTTTTTTTGTGTGGTTATGAATAGTTTTATAATTATTATTAATTACATCCCTATTATAAATTCTATTATTCTCACTAATTCCTTTAGTATAATGAATTCTCTTATTGCTTTCATTGATTAAATCCTTATTATCTGAAATAAAACTTTCAAATCAGCTCTAAGCAAATTGTTTGGGAAAAAAAGTTGTTTTTTTGCATTTGGGATCTTTTTTTATTAGATTTCACCCACACCTGATAAAATCAAGATCTTTAACGCAACCCAAAACATTACCCATTTTTTGTCCACTGCAAATTCTAATGAAAGTCTTTTGTTTGCTGATACGCTGAGCAACAAATTTTTGAATCATTATGTATTTATTTTATCATTGAGTGAGGATATTACATTTATCTTTACCTCTTCCACTTTGTACTGTGGCATCAATTTGCCTTCAATGTCATGGTAACTGACCTCACTGTTAATCAACACATATCCAAAAATTGTCATTACGTCTCTACCCCAAGTGCAATATTTAAAAGAAACTGGAAGGTTCCTTATTAGAAATAAAATGAGTTCATTGTACCATGTTCCGCAGTGAACTGATCGTAAAGACAGGGTTCCCAGTAGAACACCAAAGTCCAACATTACTGGCTGAGGTCAGTAAGCTAGTAGGTGACCACTTTGATTAGCTTCCGTAGGGACCGTGGGTGCGTGAAATTGGTCCTCGTTCGTGATCGAATTCGCACGCAGATCATTGGGCTACCAAAACAGGGGAGCCTTCCTTTCAGCAGAGGATCAAAATTGCGATGGCAGGTCTTCGGATCATCCTCAGAGATGTTTCCCTGACCGTCGCCAATAGCCCATTGTGCAGATCTAGTGCGATGTACATAAAGTACCTACCTATCTCATTGTACCATAAATATGAATGTTAATTTAGCTTATCAAAAATAATTTCTCAAATATGTATTTCAAGGGGGATTTAAAGTACATAGCATGCAAAAGAAAACACAAATTATCAATTTTTGTAGGTCAACAAGTACGCAAATCACAGCAGTTTCACAACCCAATACTGTTGCTTAGACTGACAACAAGTTCTTTAGAAGTTATCTTTAATTTTCTGTCGCTGGAAGCCAATAAATTCCACAAAACGCGAGTGACCCGATATAACCACACCTGTTACGAATTAATCCTATTTTAGAGTAGCTCAGTATATAATTGATAATCGTTAAATGTTACTCACTTTTTTCGTGGCATTACGGATGAACCGCCTAAAATAATAAACTTTTATCAACAAAATGAATCAATATCAAGACAGGAACACATACTAATCAATGATAAGGTGATGCTATGTAGCGAATTTCAAATTATTTAAGAATTCACTATCTGGGAGGGAAAAGATAATTATCACACAAGTAACAGTTCTAATGTTCATATGTATCTTGAGGTATGTTAAATTCCTGTTTGTTTCATTGGGATTAAAAAAAAAATTTCCTTTTAACCTAAATTGATAAACATAAAATTAAAAGACTTCTGAGGAAAGAAGTTTCGAAACTCGCATTTGTAATTAATCTTTCGTTAACTATTTAAGCGATTTCATATTTTTGTTAATTAAAATAATTCTGTTAAATAAAATGTATTTACTATATTTGTATTTGATTTATTTCATTTTTTTGGATTTTTTATTATGACTGAATTTAAAACAATAGCCGTCTTAAGACCAAGAAAGTTTTTTTTGTGCAATCTTTTCTTAAAGGTTTGATAAAATTGTTTACAAGGGAGAAGATATAATTTCCATTAGTAGCTATGCAGTTGAAACATTAACAATAATAACTGAACTTGAATGGCGTTGTTGTAAAGTTAATGTAAACAACTATGGTATTTTAAAAATACTACAGTAAAGTCATCCAAATAACCATGTATTTGACTTGCTTTGTATATAACCTTGTATTCATCCTGAATATGGTTGGCCCTGTACATAAATAAATATAAACTGATTTTGATTAATCGATCTTGCTGGCAGTGAATGGCAGTTCTGATTATTGCTGCTAATCTATATATTAATAGGTTAATTATTTTGTCTCGCTAAAAACTCCCAAACTGCGCAACAGAATTAAACAAATAAGATGTCGTTTTAAAGGTATTGTTATGTAGATGTGCAATAAGGTCTTAAATTATAAAAATTTCCTTTAATTAATTAATAAAATTTATCATTTAGTTTCAACCAATGAGAATTCAGCAAATCTTTTTAGGGTGGTTCGCATAAGCATTGTTTCCGTAAGCATCGTTTGATTTAAAGCATTTCTGAATTAATAGAATTTCAGTTTCCTACAAATTTATCAAAATTAGATTTAATACTAAAAGAACAATGCTTAAATTTCTAGAGTTTTTACTTTATTTGTGAACAAGACAAAAGGAAGATTTATAGATTTATTTAAAAATATACCATCTACAAGAAATTGTGTTTTGAAATGAAAAGCAAACTAAGCAATAGAGAACCTTTTTTTGGATCTGTGGATTGTTCTAATCTTGGTTCTAATAGTCTAAATAGAGAAACCATTGGAGCAATTTACAAATCAGAAAAAAGATTAATTTCAGATGTTATAATCTCCTTCAAGTGTAGTAAGTGCGTTTTGTCAATAAAGGCTTCTTTTTTTATGTTTTTATTTTATTTATTTAGTTTTTTTTTTTTTGTTACTTTATTTAACGCTGGTACAAGCATTAATTTTGGAAACTTTACTCAAATATATACTTGCCTTTTGCGCTCTACATTTACGAATGCTATTCATGGACCATTCATGAGCGGTTTGGTACATTACCGTCTTAAATTATGGATAGCGTCCTTTTTATGATGAACTTTTTCTTGTAGAGTTTTCGGTATGAATAATTTGCTGGTGCTTTATAATTTGCCTCAGTTAAATAGTCTCTTTACTGTTATTAAAAGTGTATAAGAATTATTTTTACCAGCCATTTATTTCCAGTTGTATAACATTTTTATTTACTTTTAAGCCGTCGCAGCAGATTTATTTCTATTTACAAGTGTTTACTAAAGTTTAAAGAATGTAATAATAAAAAAAATAGTTTCTTACTATCAGTTGAAGAAAATTTAATCCTACTAGGGATCCTAAGTTATCTTTTTATTTTTACTAGGGACTGTTGAGTAAAGCGGCTTTTTTAGATGCATTTCCGGTTATAAAATATTTATCCTCACAAAAAGCAAAAATTAAATGCCAAATTTTTTGCCAGGCGAACATTCATGAGGAATGAAAAAAACGAAAACGTTCCACCATTGCACTTTTTGGAAAAGCAGGAAAACCCCGTGTACTATCTGCCAGAAAAGTGGCTGGGTGGAGCAGTTGGTTTGTCGTCGGCCTTCTGAACCCAAGTCTGCGGGTTCGATCCCCGGCCCAAACACCGGATTTTCGGGATGCAGAAAATCCTCAGCGACCATGTCGTATGATAATGCGGCATGTAAGAGATCCCTGGAGTGCCTTATTGGCTCTTGTCATTTCCGGCAAAATTAAATTCCTAGTGCGCTTTAGCATCCAAATAGAGTCTCGGTGCTGCCATCTAGTGTGGCTGAAACTAGACGTCTAAATTAACATGACCAACGGTATCTCACCCATTGTGGTGGTCCTGAAAGAGTGGATACCACCTCTGGAGAATGCACTAGGTCTGCTCATCGGCAAGACCGATTGTGCAGCTCATTGGAAATAAAAAAAATAATAATAATAAAAATCTGCCAGAAAAGCTCAAGAGCTAACAGTTGAACCATACCATGACTTATCCATTTAATTCCTTCTTTATTTTTTTTTTTAATTTATTAAAGGCTATATAAGATGTATGTTTTGGAAATTTAATTCAAATGTATGCTCCCTGTTTATATTCTATTTTTATGAGAGTCATTTATGAAACTCCTAAATTACGAGCAACATATCTTTTCATTATTGATTTTACCTGGTACAATTTCAAGTATAGGTATGCTACCTTCCAATCATTTCGCTTGATATTCCTCCGTATTTTGCCTCAATGACGCATTCTCGTTACTGTTTCAAAAAGTTTCTAAGAATTTTTTTTCTAGTGACTGTAGAGTAAAACGGAATCGCAGGATTCATTTCTGATAACATAATATTTTCTTTACTTAATAAATTGATGCAGCAGATAAATTTCCCAACAAAATGTTTAGATTAATTAAAGTGACAGTTAACACTGAAATTCAAGTTTTTAAAACAAATCATTATTATACTAAAAAGTAATTATGTTTTCATTGAAAGTATTACGCACAAAATAAATATTAACTTACTATTTATGAATAAACCAACTGTAAAATACACAATACATTAGTTTTATATATTAATTCTGAAGTATACAATGTACAAGCAATCAAAATTTAAAAGAAAAAAAAGGAATACTGATCTCAAGAAAGAAACCAATAAAACAATTTAAAAATCCACAAATAAGCTCAAATTCAAATGTTAAGATCTTCTACAAGTGTAGCCCAATTATGAAGAACTTTTTACCCAAAAACTATTTTCTCTATTTTTTAATGCTGGTTCATGCAGTAATCTTCAAAACTTTATTTAAGTTTGTGCCGGTATTTTACACTCTACATTTAAGAGTGTTATTCATGAACCATTCATGAGTACATTGGTACATTTTCGGCATAAATTATAGCTATTTTCTTTTTTTAGGATTAACTTTTCCTTGTAGAGTTCTTAACATGGATATAATTTCTTACAATTTAGCCGCTTGCTGATGCTCTATAATTTGTATCAGTTAAATACTCTCTCTTCAGTTGCAAAAAGTGCATAAGAATTTTCTTTTCTTTTTTAGTAGCCAATGAAGAGTAAATCGAGTGTGCTGGATATATTTCCAGTTGTGAAGTTACTGTTGCGAGCTTTCAATTGTTAGCGAAGTTAAATCAAATCCATGACATGAGCAACTCTTAGCATATCAAATGCGTGGAGCGAGTCCACAAAGAGATCATCTCTAGAAAAACCAAGGCAGTCGAGGATATGGTCACGTGTAACCTCACAGGCAGTAAGTACGTTTAGAACATGCAGGGAAAACCTTTGCTTTGTTTTTGCGTGTCATAAATTTCAGATGACCACTGCGAAAACGAGAAATGTCTGCTGCTCTGGAGGAACAGGGAACTACCAGAGTGACTACTCTAATACCAATGGCTAGCAGGAGGAGCAACGGGACAGCATAGATTGATAAAGTGGGAAAACACTTCCAAAAAAGTCAGGGATGTCTGAGAAAACAAGGGCAGAGTTGCGCCACTTTTAGAAAAGGAATCTGAAGACTCATTGCCAACAATGTCGACATGGGAAGGGATCTACCGCAAATGAATCTCCCCTTTGTGATGGAAATACTTTCTAAAAAGTTTAGACATTGTCCCCGACATCATGCCAATTTGAAAGATGTTTAATGGCACTCAGGATATATTTCCAACTGTATAACATTTATATTTACTTTTGAACCGATGCAGCAGACATATTTCTCTTTACAAGTGTTTATTAAGGTTTATAAAATATAATTGTTAAAAATAGTTTCGAATTATTAGCTAAATAAAATTTAATCCTAAAATTTATGTATAATAAATATGACATTACTATAATAATAATATTTTTTATTTTCATTAAAGGTTTTGCATATAAAAAGATCACGATAACTTACTCATACTATCTATAAATCGAACAATACATTCGTTATAAAGATTTACTTTAAAATATACAATGTACAAGCTATTTTGTTTCAAATTGAAGCAATAAATGAAGTAATGAACAATAATTTTTTTTGTTCTGAAGGTCTGAATAAAGAAACTTTAGATCTGAATTTAAAAAAACTTAAATTCAAACGTTACAATCTCTGCAAGTGAAGCATAATTATAAATAACATTTCGACCAGGAAGCTACTTTTTATCATTTTGTATATTTATTTATGTTTTTATTTTATTCAATGTTTGTTCAAGCATTAATTTTAAAACTTTGTTCAAATATATGCTTTTATATATATATATATATATATNCAACAAATGATTTAAAAGGTTCACTATAAAACTTTTCTCTTATAAATCTATTCATTTTGACATTTTCCCCTGTATATATATATATTATTATTATTATATTAGACGTTCACTCATGTATGCTTTTGGAAATTTACCTCAATTGCATGCTTGTCTAATGCACTCTACTTTTATGAGACAGGTTATTAAAAGTAGAGCTGTAAAATGTGTCAGGCTTTCTCCTGGTGCACTCTGAGTTAAGGAAAATCTACAGCACTGCCATTTCCCAACTCCCCTCATTATTATTTTTGAATTGCTTCTGAACTTAATGGCCCTATTAAAAGTTTTTTAATATAATGCAAGGGTCGTTCCCTAGCAAAAAGATCTCAAACTTTGACTATTCTCCATTTTTTCATTTTTGCAGTTTTTGAAGCACATTGAAGTGAAAATAATCTGGTCAAATATTCCTTTCATGACAGTCCAACATCAGTCCAATCTTATTTAATGTTTACATCAATGGTCTCCTCCATTTTTTATGAACTGAAAATTTGATCGAATCACCAATCTTAGTGGATCAAGTAATAAGAAGCAGTGCCTCAAACACTGAGAAATAGTCAGCGAAATCAATGAATCATTGTAGAATTTTGATGATTGTTGTGGGTACAGTAACTTAACCGTTAATGTTAACAAAACTATTGGCCAAAAGTTTGCTTTGAATACACAATCTTTTGCACCTCAGTTTTTTTTTTATCTTGGTTTTACTTATAGCATTACTGATGATACAACTTATTTGGGGTACAAGTTGGATGAACGTTTAAATTAGAACGAGCATATGACCCGTGTTAGAGTAAAGGTGGAGGGTACATATTCTCTGTTAAAATGTCTGGCCAACTGTAAGTGGGATTTAAATAAAGTAACTCTCCACACCTTTTGTAAACTGTATCTCGAACCAGTATTTTCTTAGTGTAATGAGGTTCTTGTTTCCACTCCTGATTCTATTATTAGATTTGAAAAAAATTCAAAATCAAACTATGCGTTTTATCTCTGGGACAGTTAAGTCCTTCCCTATTGCAGCCATGCTGTTATTTACCTACCTTCATCCAATAAAATATGAAGTTCAAGAAAATTCTTGTATCCAATTCTTAAAGCTTCGTGTGCTTCCAAGTGATTCCTATTGAAGGAATCTAGATTTCAAGATTAAAAACATTAAAACGCACCTAACTGTTTTGTCTTTGGTGCCCTCTTGAATTCTATGATATCCGTGTGAGTCTTAATTTAGGCTAGCAGATTAATAATCAGAACATGAATGACTCTCAAATCTTATCCGTGCTTTCAAGCTTTCAACTATTAATAAAAATATTCTGTAAGTCAATAGACTCACGTCTATTGACTCACAGACGGTTTAATGTTTCAGAAATATATTGGAGCTGGTGCAAGAGTTTTTTGAGAATGCTTAACTTTCTACAAGGTCGTTACCATAGATACTACGAGTTATTAAGGTTCAAAAAAATCATATAAGTTTAAAATTACTGTTGTATTGTTGAGAAAGTTTTTCTTTTAAATAGCTATAAGGGAAGTTAATCCTAAATTTCAAGTAGTTAAAATAAGACATTATTACAATACTAAAGATATATGGATTAAGTGAAAGTTTTGTATATAAAAAAAAACATTAACTTACCCTCACCTGCAATAAAATATGCAATATGTTATTCCTATAGATAATTTTTTTATATTTACAATAAATAAGTGGAATTATTTTAAATGAAACAAATAAATGGGGTAATAGTGAATAATTTTATTAACATAGAATTGTCGTATTGTCCTGAATAAATACACTTGCATAACTATTCAGATTCGAAAAAAGCTTAAAATCAAACACTATAATCTTTAGCAAGTGCTGCCAAATGGTAAATAACTTTCTGACCAATTATCTTATCTTTTAATTCGTCATTTGTTTCTTTTAATTTATTAAAAGCTGAATAGCATATTTGTTTTGAAAATTTAACTCAAATTTATGTTTGTTGATTACACTCTATTTTTATGAGTGCCATTCACAAATTAACTCATAAATCACCAATAACCTCTTTTTTTATTATTGATTATTCCAGGCACAATTTCAGATATAGGTATGCTACTTTACTCTACTACCGCTTGGTGGTTTCTCTGACGTATTTTCTTTACAGTTTCAAAAAATTCCTAAGTAATTTTTTTTTCCTTTTAATAGTCACCGTAGTGTAAAACGGCTTCATTCATTTCCGGTATCACAATGATTCTTTTATTTCTTAAATTAATGCAACATATATATATTTCAAGACTAATTGTTCATATTAATTAAAGCTAAAGTGTACCCTAAAATTTAAGTAGTTAAAATAAATCATTATTATAGTAAAAAATAATTCTGTTTTCATTGAAAGTTTTGTGCACAAAATAATTATTAACTTACTAAGTTTGAGCAGAACACCTATAAAATTCGCAATTTATTAGTCTTATGTATTAATTTTGAGATATACAATGTACAAATAATTAAGGTTTTAAAATGAAAAAAATGGTGTTATGGTTTCGATACAGAAACCAATTGAACAATTTAAAAATCAAAACATAACCTTAAATTCAAATGTTAAAATTTTCTGCAAGTTTAGCCTAATTTTTGACCCTGAAGTTATCTTTTTGCTTTTATCTTTTTATGTATTTTTTACCTTTTTATGTATTTTTGATCTTTTTATATATTTTTTTATCTTTTTGTGTATTTTTTATCTTTTTATGTATTTTTTATCTTTTTATTGTTTTTGACGCTGGTTCAAGCATTGTTTTCAGAAACTTTAAAAAAAATATATGTTTGCCTCTTACACTCTACATTTACGAGTGCCATTCATAAATGCATTAATACATTTCCGTCATAAATTATGAAAATTTTCCCCTTTTTAGGATTGACTTTTCCTTGTACAGTTTTCGGTGTACAGTTTTGTACAGTTATGCTACCTTCCGATTCAGCAGCTTACTGGTGCTTTATATTTTGCTTTAGTTAAATAGTCTCTTTACTGTAACAAAAAGTATATAAGCATTTTTTCCATCTTCTGAATAGTAAAGTGACTATGCCGGAAATATTCCCAGTTATATAGTATTTACTTTTGCTTTTAAATCGATGAAGCAGAAATATTTCTCTATATAAATGCTTATAAAAGTTTAAAAAACGTAGTTTTTTATCTTTTTGTTTTAACGTAGTTAAAAAAAGTTAGTTTTTTACTAACAGAAAATCTTTAATCCTGAAATTTAAATAATTAAAATATAGCATTATTATAATAATAAAGATTTATGCTTTCATTGAAAGTTCTGTACGTAAACATTGACTTACTGAGTGTTATCGCAATAAAACGAATAATGCATTTATTAACTTTTTGTCCTGAGAGCTGTTTATAATTTTTTCATTTATCCATTTATTTATTTTTATCTTATTAAAAACTCATACGAGTATGAGTTTTAAAAATTTAACTCGAATATATGCTTTTATTTTATTACCTACTTTTACGCGTTCATTAACCTTTCCTCTATAAATTACCGAATAACATCTTTTATTTTCATAATTGACCTTTATTAGTGAAAATGTTGCTGTAGGTAACCAATCTTTCAAATTTACTAATTTTTGACCCTCTGTATTTTGCCTCAGTGACGCAAGCTCTTTTCTGTCATATAAAATATATAAGTAATTTCTTTTCTTTGTAATAGTCACTCTTGCTTGAAGCGAGTTTTCACGATTTTTTTTTTCAGTAGTATAATTTTTTTTATCTTAAATCGGATGCAGTAGAATATTTCTTGACAATTGATGCTATCATTGAAAGTTTTGCATTTTTTAAAAAAATTACTTACCAGCCGACAGCAGATTAGCTATAATATATACAATACATTTATTTTATATATTTATTTTTATGTAAATAATTAGCAAGAAATTTTGTTTAGAAACGAAAATGGAAGTGAGATAATTAAAAGTAAATTCTTTTCTGGATCTGTGGGATTTTCTATTGGTCTGGAACATTTA